ATTTTTTATTTTTTTCAGCTATTGTGAATGGGAGGGTTTCCCTGTGCTCTTTCTCTTATTGCTTGTTATTGGTATATAGAAAGTCTACTGACTTTTGTAGGTTAGTTTTATAACCTGCCACTTTACTGAACGTGTAATTTCTAGTTTTCAGGTGGAATTTTTGGCACCTCTTAGATATAATATATCATCTGCAAAAGGATAATTTGATCTTTTCCAATTATTACTCCTTTAATTTCCTTCTCTTGTCTTATTGTTCATGCAAGAGTTTCAAGTACTATGTTAAAGAGAAGTGGGGATAGCGGGCAGCCTTGTCTGGTTCCTCATTTCAATGGGAATACTTCCAGTTTTTCTCCATTTAGAATGATGTTGGCTGTGGGTTTGTTATATATGGCTTTAATTATGTTGAGGTATGTTCCCTTCAGTCCAATTCTCTCTAGAACTTTAAACATAAAAGCATGTTGAATTTTGTCAAAGGTCAAGGCCTTCTCTGCATCTATTGCGATGACCATGTGGTTCATGTCTTTGAGTCCATTTATATGATTTATGATGTTTATTGAGTTATGTATATTGAACCATCCCTGTATCTCTGGGATAAAGCTGATTTGATCATGGTGGATGATCTTTTTGATGTGTGTCTGTATGTGGTTTGCAAGTATCTTGTTGAGAATTTTTGCATCTATGTTCATTAAGGATATGGGTGTATAGTTTTCTTTTCTGGTTGTAGAGTAGATCTTTTTACGAGAGTAACTTTAGATAGTATGACTAAACGCCAGTGGATGAACTTGCACCAAGGGACATCTGAGTAGAAATGCTTGACAAGATAGGACTTAACATATATGTCAGAATACATGAAATCCGATGGGTGTGTGTTTATTGGGGACATGGATGGGGTGGTCTAAATTTGTTTAAAATTATTGTATGAAATGCACAAAAATGCAATAAAAATATTTTTTAGAATGTTATAGCTGGCTGTGGTGGCCCACGCCTTTAATTCCAGCTCTTGAGAGGCAGAGGCAGGCGGATCTCTATGAGATTGAGGCCAGCCTGGTCAACATAGTGAGTTCCAAGCTAGCTGGGGCTACAGGGTAACCCCGTCTCAAAAAGACCAAAAAAGTGTTATAAGGAAGCTGGGGAGAAGGTCCCATTGCCATGTAAATGTGAGAACTTGAGTTTGGATCTCCAATACTCATATAAATGCTGGTAGACATAACAGCCTACCACTCATGAGGTGAAGACAAGATCCCCAAAGCAACATCACTAGACTAGCCAAATCAGCCAGCTCTTGGTTCAAGTCAGAGACTTTGTTACAATGAATAAGGTGGGGAGGGATTGAGGAAGACATCAGATAGCAACCTCTGGCCACCTCCTACACCCACACGCACACACACACACACACACACCACTCACACATATACACAAGCACACGTACACATGCATGCATCCACACACATGAACATGATGAACATGTACTCATACCACAGCACACATTCTATCTAGGCCTTCATTATCAGTGAGGAATTTGAGAGGTATAAAAGCGTGCAATGATCATGCAGTCAGATAGATGGAGCAGTGTTGCCAGTAGACTCTGGATATTCAGGTGCCTAAGTCCCGAGTTCTTTTATTTCTCTATTTTCTATGTGTTTTTCTGTTAGTAATTTACATATATACATATAATGAAAACTCTGTTTCTGGCACCTCTTTGGCCACTGGGTGTATATGAAGATCCCTAGCATGGGTTCTCTGACATTTTGATGACTTAACACTGCATATGGTTCTGTGTAAAGGAGATTCCATGTGACTGTGTTTTTGTTTCAGACATATAGCCATGAAGTCTACTTTGACAGAGACTTGGTGCTACACATAGAACAGAAACCCAACAGGGTCTTCAGCTGCTATGTTTACCAGATGGTATGTGACCCTGGAGAAGAAGAAGATATCCTAAAAAGAAGTTGCTAAAAAGGGGGAGAGTTGTATCTTGAGACTTTTGGTGAAATACCCAATCAGCTGTGTCCAGTCCTCTTTATTACATGCGTGGCACATTCTGCAGTATTTCTGAGAGCAGGTCTTGTGTTAATTGCAAATGACTTAGATTGAATTCTTCCCACAGAAGGTTGTGAGGACTTTGTTTTATGTGACTACTTTCTAAAATGATGTCCCAAGAGGTCTAGCATTTTGAAACTTTTAGACTAGGTGCTACTGCAAATATAAAATGCTGGGAACCAGAGGACATGTTAATTCAGTTGTTGAGAAGACATCACTGATATGGAGATAATTAAACATGATTTTTTTTTTTTTTTGAGACAGGGTCTCCCTGTAGCCCCAGTTGTCCTGGAACTCACTCTGTAGACCAGGCTGGCATTGAACTCACAGAGATCCGCCTGCCTCTGCCTCCCAAGTGCTGGGATTAAAGGCATGTGCCACCATGCCCGGCAATAATTAACATGATGCTTAAAGAATAATTTAGAGTTTGGATTGGTAAAGCTAGGAGAGAGAAAAAAAATAAAAATATTAAAGACACAAGCCAGGCATAGTGGTGTACACTATGTAATCCCAGCACATGGGAAGTGGAGCAAAAGGATTACGATTTCAAGGCCAGTGTTGGCTACATCATGAGTTCAAGACCGGCTTGGTCAGCTTGGTCTTCATAAGACCTTTTCTCAAAATGACAACAAGAGTTAAAGAAATCTCATATACTCTATACCAAGCTTTGTGTAAGGATGACAAATGAAATTTGTAATGTGAATTCCTTTTTTTTTTTTTTTTACAAATCATACATATGTAGATAGATTTTGTGTTTCCATATAATATCTAGTTGATTCTAGTTCCCAAATTGTCTTTTGTTCCATGGTCTTATTCTTTAGTCTTCTTGTTCTCATTGAATGTTTGTATTCTGTGTGTGTATGTGTGTGTGTGTGTGTGTGTGTGTGTGTGTGTGTCTTTGCCTGTGTACATGGTGCTCATTGATGTGTCCATGTCGATTTATATGCATGTTCATGCGTGCATATGTGTGTGGGTGTGCTTGCATGTTTGCATGTGCATTTGGAGGCCAGAAGTCTCCCTGTGATGATATTCCTTAAGAGCTATCAACCTTGGTTTTTGAAACAGGATCTCTTACTAGTGCCTGGGACTATGATTAGACTGGCCAGCCAGCCAGCCCCAGGATCCTCCTGTCTCTGCTTCTTTAGCATTGGTATTATTAGCACACCACCACACCTAGCTATTTATATGGGGCCTAGGGATCAAACTCAGGTCCTCTTGCTTGTGTAGCAAACACTTTACCAACTGAGACGTCTCCCGAGCCCTGAAACGATGTATTGTTATAAAAGATTATGAGGAAACTTTAAATGAAAAATATTTTTTCTGATATATATAACCTGTTTAACTCAATGCATCTAAAGATACTGTCTTTATTAACCATTCTATTTTTTAGTGAGATGGTTTGTTGAGGCAATATTTTCTACAAGAACATAAAGATGTGTTGCTAGCCTGTACTAGATCTTTCACTCAAGAAGAGTCAGTGAAAGCTCAGGAGGAATTCTTCCTAGAATTTGCCTGATTAGCCAGAGGAAAATTTTGGATGTTTTTTCTTGTTTGTTGTTAAACAGATTTAAACATGACCCTTAGGGCTAGAAAAATGACTCAGTGGTTAAGAACACTGGCTGCTCTTGTACAGGATCCCATTTTGGTTCCCAGCATCCACATGGCAGCTAACAACTGTCTGTAACTCCAGTTCCAGGGGATCCAACACTTTCTTCTGGCCTCTGTGGGCATTGTACAACACAGGTCCACTTACATACATGCAGGCAAAACACTCATATGCATAAAAACTAATAAAAGTTAATTCAAAAAATTTTAATGACCCTTAAACTCCAGTAATCATCTTTCAAAATGTTAGATAAAGGCAACCTAAGTATAGGGAGAAAATGTTCCTATACTTCCTATTTGAGAAATCCAGTTATTTGGAATATACATGTTCATCTTGTTTTTCTAATGCAGCCTCAAAAAAATAACTGTAAAACAAGAAAAGAATGGCTGGGGCTAATAGTTCACACCTGTAATCCCAGTATTTAGGAAGCTGCAATAAGAGGATTGCTGCAAATTTGAAGCCAGCCTTGGCTACGAGGCAAGACCTTGTATTGACAAAAAAAAAAAAAGCCAGGGATGGTGGCTTATGTTTGTAAGATTGGTACTTTGGAGGTAGAGGAGGAGCAAGAGTTCAATGCCAACTTTGGCTACATAGTAAGTCAGAGCTAGCCTGGGCTATCTCAATAATACAAACAAACAAAAAGAAAAACAGTAAAATTAGTAATTTTTTTTTAAATACGTGTATGAGTGTTTTGCCTACATGTCTGTAAGTGTACCCATATCATGCAATGCCTGAGAGGCCAAAAGAGGGAGTCAGATTCCCCTGGAACTGGAGTTACAGACAATTGTTAGCTGCCCTGTAGGTTCTGGTATTCAAATCCAGGTCTTCTGCAAGAACAGCCAGTGTTCTTACCCATTGAGCCATCTTTCCAGACCCTAAAACTAGTTTTTTATTCAAAATTTAAGGTTAGAATATAGAATTTTAGCTTGGAAGATTTATATAAAAGTCTTTCAGTTTTGTCATGATCCCATGTTTTAAATGATGTGAATTCTGTTCAGTTCAGCACTTGAAAATCTTCAGACAAGTTTCAAGTTTATTATGATCATCAGGACTAAGGAGAAAGGTGTTGGCTGTTTTAAAAATCAAAGAATCAGTGGCAGGGTCTATAGAAAGAAATAAAGGAAGCAAATCTAAAACCATCTTTTGTGCATGGAAAAAAATTACAGGTTGGCTAATCCTTATCTTAGAACAAAAAGTAGCTTGTATTTCAAGGTTTTTCCTATTTTAGAATATCTGTGGGTACACAGTGAGATTTTGGGGATAGGTCCAAGGTCTAGACATGAAATTCTTTTATATTAACACAGGTGGTCCCAAAAGAAATCTGAATTTGATCCTATGTATAAGAGTCATTTGGAAAGTAGAAATGACTACCTCATGAGCAAGATAGTAAATTGTATACTAAATTCTAATTCTTATATCTACAAATTGAGAATTCATCCTCATTTTATGCATACTTAATAGTACAATTGAGCATTTTAGAGACAGCAGTATGATTACAAACCAGTTGAATAGTTATAGTGCCCAACCTTTCAGTTGGACACTAACTATATCTAAGCATCTAAAGCATGCTGCCTAACAAATTTGTATCTTGAAAAACAAATCCAGTAAGAAGCAACTGAGCATCTGCTTTCCATTTCAGGGGCACTTGAGAACAGGCAGGCTTTAAAGTGGTTAGTGAGTTTCTCTTCCTTTAAATACCCCCCCCCCCATATATGTATGTATGTGTGTGATAATAGAAAGGAACTCACCTGTTGAGAAAGGCATTTGAGAAATAGTTTGCTTTGAGATACCTGGCTCTTTTGGTGGATGAAGATAGACTACTTCTAATCTAAGTATGAAGTGACCAATAAGGAGTTCTTAATGTGACCTGGGACTGGTGGCTCATGTCTCTAATCCTAGCAACTAGGAGCTGAAGCAGGAGGATTGCCACAAATCTGAGGCAATCTGATTGCATAGTTACCGGCCATACTGGACTACAGAGTGAGAGTCTGTCTCAAAAATAAAGTCATACAGCCAAAATCTAACTAGACCTGGACCCATAAGCCACATGGGCCAGGTGGGAAACTAACCTAGTCTGCAAGACAGTAGGGAGTTGTGGGCAATGTAACAAACATGCCCCGACTAAAAGGTTAAACTGCTGCTCTTTAGTTTTGGCAACTATAACAGTTTATAGAAATGTAGACTGCATGATTGTCAATGGGATAGGTGATTAAAAAGTTGCAGGAAAACACTGAAAATAGAAGAGAATATAGGAAATTTAGATCCACAAATAGCAAGAAAGGAGCTAAGGGTTATGTATAGCTCAGTGCAGGAGGCCCTGGGGTCATTTCTCAGTCTGAAAGAAAGAAAAAAAGCTTTCTAGTGTCCTGCAGCCACTTACTCTGCCACCTGCCGTGCTCTCCACCTGGCCGTCCTGTTTGGGTTGGAAGGGAATGGTTACTGTCCTTCTCTCTGCCCTCTGACTGTTTCAGTCCACCTGTGTGCTCCCCTACTTCAGATGTGCCAATGACAGGAACAAACATCATGTGTAACATTTCTGAATAGTTAGTGCAACACCAAGTAAAGCAAGGTAGCTTCTGTCAGCAAGTACAGATGTTAAGCTGAAAAGGGATGCATTTCTGTATTTAACTCCATGCTCTAAGTTTATATTCTAACACCCTAAGCTTGTTGTTACCTGGCTTTCTAATGTGCTCACAACTCTGGGAGAGACAAAACAAACCCTGTCACTGTTAGTATTGAACCAACAAATGAGGAGATAGAGTTCTACCTAAAAAAATTAAGGTACTCTGTAGTTTCCCACAAATTGAATGTTTTATATATTATACATATTAAAAAAACAGAAATAAATATATGAGAGAAAGAGTTTTGTTCTGTTTATGTTTGGGTGTTGTTTGTTTATTTTGAGGCAGTTTCACTCTGTAGCCCCAGATTGGCCTGGAATTTTTTGTGTAGTTCAGGCTCCCCTCAGACTTGTGATCCTCTTGCCCCATCTTCCCTACAGCCACCATTATTTATTATTTTCTACTTGTCACTGATTGTAACACATTGAACATAGTTTTTCTCCTTTCATACTGAAAAGAACCTCATGAAGTATAAACTACTATCTTCTTTGTACAAACAAAGGAAGTGATGAGGCTTGTACAACACTCTCATCTGCAGCATAATAACAGTTACAATATTAAGGACATAGGGAAGTGGTGCGTGAGTGTGAGGTGTTTGTTGTTTGGTTTGTGTCATCACCACTCCCACCCCAATGCTGAAGATTGAACCCCAGGCTCTGCATGTTACACAGCACTTGGCTGCAGCCCCAGCTCCTCCTATGTATGTTTTTAGTGATGGCCAAGCTTCCAATTTGGGGGCTAAATTTAGATAAAAAGAATTTGTATATAAACTGACAGAAAAGATGGCTCTTCTTTCAGTAATTAGAAATATTCAGAAATTTTGTTTCTTATGGCAGTAAACACTGGTGTCATTAACTACTCAGAGAGCTGAGCATGGTGGTGCACACCTTTAATCCCAGCACTCAGGAAGCAGAGGCAGGCTGATCCCTGTGAGTTCAAGGCCAGGCTGGTCTACATAGCAAGTTCCAGGCCAGGCAGGGCTGCATAATGAGACTCTGTCTCAAAAAAAACTACTCTTCAACTCAATAGGTTTGGCTTCAACTCAGTTTTTACAGCTATCATATGGGAGACAGGGAGTATTGCTGAAAGCTCAAGGCCAACCTGGGCTACTTAGTGAATAAGATCAAAGCCAGCCTAGGCTTCTTAGAGTACCAGGCTAGTCAGGACTACAGGCAAGATCTTTACTCAGTAAAACAAAATAATGATGCTGATGACTTTTATGTTTCTTCTTTTCCTCTCCATGTTTGTATACATTACCTGCTGAGTTTTTGCAAATGTGCAATCTAAATCCTTTTCAAAATATGAAGCTTTGCAGTTGTCTTAGACAGTCTCCTACTGCCCCTTCCCTGCCCATTGCTGCCTCGCCCATCCTTGGGTCTAACTACTGTTCTGATTCTTTTATATCCCAAACTAAGCTACTCAGTGTAATGATCCTGAGATCTGTTCATGTTGGATTATCACCTGTCTGTCCTTTTCATTCCTGAATGTTTTGTGTACTGTCAGTTTGTTTTCTCATCTTATCCATGGACATTGGATTGTTCCAACTTTTTCCCCTTACTGCTGTGAATAAAGCTGCTGTGGACACTTGAATATGTATTTTTTGTGTGCGTGTATCTTTATTTCTCATGGATAAATTTCTAGGGAAAGAACGCTGGGCCTTCCAGTAGACATCTGTACCATTTACATGCCTATTACACTGTATGAGTCTGCCAGTTGCTCTTTATTTTTCTATAACATTTGTGCACATTTTTCTTATCTCAGCATTTGTGGTGAGTTTATAATCACTTCTAGTTGATACTCAGATTGTGTCTACATGTGTCCAGCAGCCCTCTTGGCAAGTTGATCACTCTTTATCCCTTTTCACATTTCCCTGCCCACACCCCCAGGAGCTTTGAAAGCATTCTTTGTGATAATAGGACAACTCTAAACTCGAATTGTTCTTTATCAAACATGGAATACATGGCTTACCAAGGACCCCTGACTCATTTAATGGAGACTGGCATTAAGGTGAAAATCTGGGTTCTAAGGGCACATGTTAAATTGTTTGCATGACTGCTGGAGCTGGACAAAGTGGCTAAGAAGATCCATAAATCTAATAAAAGCAAAAGACCATTTTCTTTTGAAGTTCTGAGTTTACATATTTCAGGTGAAATTTGTGCTGAGCAAGCTTTATCTTTTTTCCACTACTTGTGATATCAAATAGTATGTTCAAATTTAAAACTTCTCAAAATTTTAGAACGCTTTGTTTTTCTTTTGTTTTTTTTTGGTTCTCAATTCAAGTGTCTTAGAATGTTCCAAAGTCCAGTCTCCTTCCTCATAGTCTCTCGAGTCATCTCTGGGGCTGGAGGGGACTGGATGAGAATCTAGCCTCTTGTATAGGCCCAGTTTAAAAAAAAAAAAAAAGCCACACATGGGCATTAGATCTCAGATAGATTCCTATGAAATTAGTAGAAGATTGCAATGAAAGAGAGACTTCAATAGACAAAGCCTTTGACAGCTGTCCAATATTCTCCTTTAACTTCTTGTCTTCATGGGCACTGGTACCATTTTTATTAAAGGCAGCACTGAGTTTGAGTTTCATATAGGACTTCAGATAAATAGCAATATATCTTCAAAATTTTCAACAGCTGACTTAGCACAAGTTATATATCCAATAAAATATTAGCAAATACAATCAAGCTATTCAGAACTCTTAGCAATAAATTTATTATTTTTTGTGTGTCTAAGTGTATTGCCTGCATGTATGTAAGTGCACCTGTGTCATGCAATGCCCATGGAGGTTAGAAGAGGACGTCGGATCCCCTGGAATTGGAGTTACAGACGGTTGTTAGCTGCCATGTGGGTGCTGGGAACAGAACCCAATTGCTCTGCAAGAGCAGTGACTGCTCTTAATTGCTGAGTCACCTCTCCAGCCCCAACAAATTTATTTTTCACATTTGTGGTAAAATTGACATGTAGTAAAATAGGTATATGTAAAGTATAAAATTTGGTAAGTTTTACCCTTTGTATACTCATGAAACCATCACCACTATCAAGATGATGTTTCCATCTTCACAAGGCTTTCTTCATTC